TACACTACACGCTACGTGTATAACCTATACACTACACGCTACGTGTTATAACCTATACACTACACGCTACGTGTTATAACTCATACACTACACGCTACGTGTTATAACTCATACACTACACGCTACGTGTTATAACCTATACACTACACGCAGTATATTATAACATATACACTACACGCTACGTGTTATAACCTATACACTACACGCTACGTGTTATACCCTAGACACTAGACGCTGTATTTTATAACATAAACACGAGGTTCTAATACATAGCGAGTGGAGAGAATCAGAGAGATCAGTTCGAAGGGGACAGGTGTCATGCAGTAGCGACGGGAGAGTGATTGGGTGAGTGGATGAGTAGGTAGGTGGGTGGGTGAGTGGGTGAGTAAGTGGGTGAATGACTGGGTGAGTGAATGGGTGGATGGGTGAGTGATTGAGTGGGTGAGTAGGTAGGTGGGTGAGTGAGTAGGTAGGTGGGTGGGAGAGTAGGTAGGTGGGTGGGTGAGTGAGTGGGTGAGTGGGTGAGTGAATGGGTGAGTAGGTAGGTGGGTGGGTGAGTAGGTAGGTGGATGGGTGAGTGGGTGAGTGAGTGGGTGACTGAGTGAATGGGTGAATGAGTGAGTGAGTGAGTGGGTGAGTGAGTGAGTGGGTGAGTGAGTGGGCTGGTGGGTGAGTGAGTGAGTGGGCTGGTGGGAGAGTGGGTTGGTGGGTGAGTGGGTTGGTGGGTGAGTGGGTTGGTGGGTGAGTGTGTGAGTGGAGTGAATCGGTGAGATAAGTTCACTGGAACAATCGTCATGGTAGTAGCTGCAGGAGGATGAATGGGTGGATGAATGATTGGGTGGGTGAGTGGGTGAGTGGGTGGGTGGGTGGGTGAGTGGGTGGGTGGATGGCATTGATAACGAAGGGAAGCGAATGATCTATCATGTCAGTGATGTTCCAGTTGGATTCCATTGCTGCAGTGATGGGTATTAGTCTCGAGGTGGCCTTGGTGGTGCAGAGATCAGAGACGCTGAGCCACGTCTCAGCCGCAGCACCACAGAGATGACACGGGTGTACAGGTGCAGCCTGGTCACCAACGACTCGTATAGAGACCCAAGACTCACATAGAGACCCACAAACTTATCGAGAACCATAGACTCACAAAGACACCCATAGACTCACGCAGAGATGCATGGACTCGCATAGAGACCCATAGACTCACATAGAGACCCATAGACTCACATAGAGACCCACAAACTTGTCGAGACCCATAGACTCACAAAGACACTCATAGACTCACAGAGAGATTCATGGACTCGCAAAGAGACCCATAGACTCACATAGAGACCCACAAACTTGTCGAGACCCATAGACTCACAAAGACACTCATAGACTCGCATAGAGACCCATAGACTCACATAGAGACCCATAGACTCGCAAAGACCCATATACTCACATAGAGACCCATATACTAGCAAATACACACATACATTTCACATAGAGACCCATAGCGGTAGTGAGCTTTCTGTGCGCTGGGAAGGAATGGAACGGCGTGTATTATAAATGATTTTCATTTTAGAGCCACACATACGGCGCTGTTCGATACGGAACGTCTTGATATGTGTTTTAATTGTGTTTGCGCACCGCCGCCATGATATTGTTTGGTGGAGTCATCCCCTTTTGAAGTGAAGGCGAGATCCATCTCTCCATCTCCTCTCTCTCATCTCCTCTCTCTCATCTCCTCTCTCTCTGCTCTCTCTCTGAGCACGCGTACCACACACATGTCGGTGATGTGCAGCACGTCTTCTTCGAACGCTGGGGAGCCGGACAAGCCCCACTCTGCACCAGCGTGCACAGCACCCTCGTGTTCACCTTCTGAAGCGCTCGCTCGTCACCGTGGCGTGCGCGATGACCACCACCACCACCACGTGACTTTTCTTTCGTATTGTGTGTGGTGCATTTAGCGCCACAGCGCGTGGATTTATAACGTTTGTTTTCATTTGTTTGCTGGTGACTTTGTGTATTCATATCGGAATCGCCTCCAGTGCTGTTGCTGCTGGCGGCAATAAAAGAAGTTTCAAAGTCAAAAATCTCTCCAATCCCACTCTCCTCTCCCCGCTATTTCTCCATAATCTCTCTCCTCTCGATTTCCACTCTCTCCGCTCTCTCTCTCTCTCTCTCCGCTTACCGCACGGGTCTGGCCGCTGCGTCGGGATCCAGGGCCGTGACCGTGCCGAGGGGGTGCCGTGGCCCCTGGCTCTCGGCCACCTCGAACTCGTAGGCGGGGAGAGAAGACGGGCCCCTCGTCCGCGTCCTCCACGCTCACGAGGAGGCGCGTGGAGCCAGCCAAAGGCACCATCGCCGTGGAGCTGCTGCCCCCCGCCACCGGGTTCCACGCCTCCACGGTGAGCGTGTAGGCGTGCTTGCGCTCGTAGTCGAGCGGCTGTGGGTGGGTTGGTGGGTGGTGACGGTGGGCAGGAGTAGGTGGAGTGGGTGGGTTGTGGTGGTGGTAGTGGTGGGAAGAAGATGGTTGTGGTGAGAGGAGGTGGTGGAGGTGGTGGTGGGGAGGAGGATGTAGAGCAAGTGGGTGGTGGTGGTGATGGGGAAGAGATGGTTGTGGTGGGAGAAGGTGGTGGAGGTGGTGGTGGGGAGGAGGATGTAGAGCAGGGGGTGGTGGTGGTGGTAGTGGTGGGAAGGAGATGGTTGTGGTGAGAGAATGTGGTGGAGGTGGTGTAGTTGGTGATGGGGAGGAGATGGTTGTGGTGGGAGCAGGTGGGTGGTTGTGGTAGTGATGGGGAGGAGATGGTTGTGGTGGGAGGTGGTGGGTGGTGACGGTGGGTTGTGGTGGTGGTGGTGGGAAGGAGATGGTTGTGGTGAGAGAAGGTGGTGGAGGTGGTGGTGGGGAGGGAATGTAGAGAGGTGGGGTGGTGGCGGTAGTGGTGGGAAGGAGATGGTTGTGGTGGGAGGTGGTGGGTGGTGACGGTGGGTTGTGGTGGTGGTAGTGGTGGGGAGGAGATGGTTGTGGTGGGAGCAGGTGGGTGGTTGTGGTGGTGATGGGGAGGAGATGGTTGTGGTGAGAGAACGTGGTGGAGGTGGTGTAGTTGGTGGTGGGGAGGAGATGGTTGTGGTGGGAGCAGGTGGGTGGTTGTGGTGGTGATGGGGAGGAGATGGTTGTGGTGGGAGTGGTGGGTGGTGACGGTGGGTTGTGGTGGTAGTGGTGGGAAGGAGATGGTTGTGGTGAGAGAAGGTGGTGGAGGTGGTGTAGTTGGTGGTGGGGAGGAGGATGTAGAGCAGGTGGGTGGTAGTGGTGATGGGGAGGAGATGGTTGTGGTGGAGGTGGTGGGTGGTGGTGGGGAAAGGAGGTGGTGGTGATGGGAAGGAGATGGTTGTGGTGGGAGAAGGTGGTGGAGGTGGTGGAAAGAGGGTGGTTATGATGGTGATGGGGAGGAGATGGTTGTGGTTAGAGGTGGTGGCGGTGGTTGTGGGGAGGAGGTGGAGCGGGGTGGGTGGGGGTGGTGGTTGTGGTGGTGGTGTTTAACCAGTGGTTGTTGATGTTTCGGAGTGGTTGATGTTGTTGGCGGTTGGCAGTGGTTGGTGATGGACATGAGTTGGTGGTAAGTGGGGACAGAACATAGCAACACAGAATATTCATAAACATCATCATCATCACACTGTCACCATCACAATCGCCATGATTATCAGCAACACACCATTCTTTACCATCACCATAATGATCAGCATTACCGTCATCATCATCAGCACCACTGTCTTTTCCCACCGTCATCATCATCAACCTATCGTCCTTGTCTAATCATGTCACCTTGTCCGAACAACCAACATCCCTGCTGCCTCCTTGTCCTACAAACACCTTCCCACCCTCTCCTCCCTCTCCCTTCTCTCCTCCTCCTCTGCTCCCATCCCTCCCCTCCCCTCTTCACCCCTCCCCCTCCGCCTATCCTCCCATAGCCTGCGGCACAGCAATGCTGGTGACACGTTGTATCCGCAATACCAGTCATTAAATATTACAGCGTGACATTTACATATCGGCGTGAGAAACGCGACTTGGGACGTGCGTGGGGATTTTTTTTTGGGGGGGGGGGTGCGAGGGGAGTGAGGGTGGGGGTTTATCGGGCTATGATGATGCCTGCGGAGAGCCCAGTTGTTGTGCGTCTAGTTAACGAAGGGGGGGGGGAGCGTGGTGGGGGGGGGGGTAATTAACATCAAAGGCTTTAGTGAGCGTCTCAGATACACGGGGCTCACTCGGGAGAGAGGTGGAGGAGGGGGAGAGAGAGAAAGAAGGAGCTTGTGGTGGTGGAGTGGTTCGAGAATAGAGGTCACCAGGGTCATGTGCGGTTACAGCTGTGGAGAGGAGATGCACGTGGTTATGTGTGTGTACGTGGGGGGATGTGGGTGTATGGGTTAGCGCGCTGCGCTATGAACCCAACGACCCTGGGTTCGATTCCCGCTCACGGCCAACACCCAGTAACGATTATCTGAACCGGTCCTGGGCCACCCCCTAGGTCGTCTCAGCCTCAAATGAGTACCTGGTGCGGTGTGTAAACATCGCCACTGGGGAGACAAGGCGGTCGGGCGTGGTGCTGGCCACCCACCTCCTCGTGTGCCGTGCCGGCCTTCATAGGTGCTCGCTAATAGCACTTGCCCCTACAGTCCTGTTAAGGCCGTACGGACAAATAGTTGTCTTTGTTCACATACAAAGGCAAAGGTGACCCACACAGCCTTGCCATACTGTCGGAGGCAAGTGCTGTTAGCACATTTTTCCGAAGGTGGGGAGCGGGTAGTGCCGTAGCGGCTGGCATGACTCCCATTCGATTCCCCGGTCACGGCCACCAACACCAGTGACGAGCATCTGAACCATTTCGAGGTCATCCCCTAGGTCGACTCAGCCTTAAATGAGTACTCGGGTGCTGTGTAATAATTTGACACCGGCGAGACAAAAGCGGGCCCCGGTGGTGTTTTCGCCGCTCCTGGCCACCTGATTTATGAGTTAGGCGCGCATTAAATCACGTTTGTCCATATGCACGCACGCATGCATCGATATTTCTTGTAACCGTTTGACCACGTGCGTCACGCACAAACTTGCAAAGATATTCCGCGTAGCCTTTCCTGTTGGGGCAAGCGCTTTGAGATTGTTCGGCTGCGATGTGTATTCCACGTGGTTAAGGCCACTTCTTTCGAGTTATCAATTTGTGGCCAATTCCGCTTTTGAAAAAGAGCTCTGTAGCTTAGAGGGGCCCTTACCTGGGTTTAATAAACAAATGCTTCGATTTAAAGCTTCGTGACTGCAGGGATTCATCTTCTTGGTTCTTTCGGTAAAGTCACAGTAGAATGGAAATAATAAAATAATAAAAATTAAACATGATAAATAATTCTTATTTTTACAATTCTTATTTTACAATTCTCATTCACAAATCATTTTTATTATTTTATTATTTCTATTCTACGTGACTTTACCGAAAGAACCAAGAAGATAAACATATATGTTTAGGTGATTTGTCTACCGTGCCTATACTGACACTCCTATCATGTTGTCGTATTGTTTGTTGTTGTAACTTTCTGACCCGAGGTTCCTCCTGGACATTTGTGAAAAATAGCTTCATAGCTCGTCGAATTCCTCGAGGAAAAATACGGATTCTGATTCTGCTGTGAGCGGGCACGGCACACGAGAATACACACACACACTACTCACTCACTCACTTGCATGCGTGTGTACGCGACAACCAAAAACAAACATCCCCGCGGAGCTTAACAGACTGCTGGGACAAGTGTTGGTAGCGAGCAGCAACCTACGTAAGCGACGAACGCGTATACACAGACATGCAGTCTGCATGCATTCATGCACACATCACGTACACATATTTCCAACATCATCAGCTACATCCTCATTAGTTACATCATCATCACCGCTATGACCACCATTGCAAGTACAATCATCACCACCTCCATTAACTACACCACCACCACCACCTAATACATTACGTTTCACTCTCGATTTATAGTGCTAATTAAAAAATATAATATAGTTTAAGACCCTGGCGTCTTTCCCAAGTCGTAATTTGTTAAATATAATTAAACCATTATTATAACACAGCTGAGAGCCAACGGAGTCAAGACACGTATTTTATTTCGATGCGAGGGGACACGCAAGAGGATAGAGTGGGAGGGAGAGATGTTGAGGAGGAGAGGGGGGGGGGAGCAGGGGAGGGAGGAGGGAGGGAGGAGGAGGGAGGAGAGAGAGGGAGGAGGGAGGGGAGGGAGACGAGGACGAGGGGGAGGGAGTAGGTGGAGGAGGGGGGGATGCTTATTTGATAATTGATTTAGTGGTGGATTAAAATCTAACTCTGATCTTTCCTCTCGTTGCACACCAAAGCGTCATGGACACACCAATCTTCATTCACAAATCTTCATTCACAAATCAAGTCTGTGGAGTGGGAGGGGGTCGGGTGGTCGAGAGGTTCAGAGACTGGGAGCTGGAACTCTCTCAAGGCCTAGGTTCCAATCCGTGTGTCATCCGCTCAACCACAGCGATCTAAACCGGGATCTCGAGTGTAGTGAATTGATGACCTCAGCCCAGCCATCAATAGCTGCCATAGAGACCCACATACTCACATAGAAACCCATAGACTCACATAGAGACCCACATACTCACATAGAGACCCATATACTCACAAAAACATCCACAGACTCACATAGAGACCCACAGACTCACATAGAGACCCACAGACTCACATGGAGACCCATATACTCACATAGAGACCCATAGACTCACAAAAACATCCACAGACTCACATAGAGACCCGTAGACTCACATAGAGACCCATATACTCACAAAGAGACCCGTAGACTCACAAAAACATCCACAAACTCACATAGAGACCCGCAGACTCACAGAGAGAACCAGAGACTCGCATACAGATTCATAGATTTACATAAAACACGTGCACAGAGGTATCGCTCCCACATATTGAACCGTGTACTCATTTAAGGCTGAGTGGACCTAGGGGAGGCCCCGGAACGGTTCAGATAATCGTCACCAACGTTGGTGGCTGTGAGCGGGAATCGAACTCGGGTAGCCGGGATGGTAGAACAGCGCGCTAACCGCTGTACCACAGCTCCAAAAGACAATAAACTCCCTCGTGCCTCGGTAGACTGAGTGAGGCAATCGCCGTTCGCGAGCACCAATGAAGATCGGAACGGCACACGAGGGGGGGCGGGGGGGCGGGGGGGCGGAGGTGGGGGTGGGGGAGGCGAGGGGAGGGGGGGCGAGGGGACGGGGGGGGGCGAGGGGGCGAGGGGGGGGGCGAGGGGACGGGGGGGCGAGGGGACGGGGGGGGTTGGTGACGAACACCGCACCCGATAGCCTAACCCCAACATGCGCACACACACAAACAACATTATCCAAAGGTCAACTCCACAAAAGCCTCA